ATGGCTTTTACACAGAATAAAAAAGGTCCTAAGATCTTGAATCTTGTCGCACCGTTCAACTGGATCTGCGCTGGTCTAGGTGCTGCAAGTATCATGTTTGTTATTCTCGGTGGCGAAAAGGCAGACGAAGACGAGAAAGTCTCATTTGTCGCAGGGATGACCTTTCTTGCAGGTACAATCGTGCTCTCAGCGGTTTTGCCGGTACTTTTCACACTATTAAACTTCACATATCCACGCAACATATATGAATACGATGAGCATGGCACCAAGCTGTCCGAAAAGTTTCCGGTTCTCCTCCAGACACTACCGGTTATGATGACCTTGTATGTCCTACAATTCCTCGCCGGGATAATTCTTTGGTTCAAATCAAAGTATCAGGATTGGTCTTTTGTCGTTATTACTGTAGAGGTATCCGCCATTTTGGTGTTTATAATGGCGATTGCAATAAAAGCATATAGGAGCGCCATGTAGCTCTGTGGTTCGGACTTGCAATCACAGCGATTAGGATAGATGGCTTCAATCTAGAAGCACAGCACTGCAAGAAGATGGAGGCTTACCACGATGTCGTCCAGATAGTACTGGGGAAAGTGATAGGTATCACATGGGTTTGTGCTTTATACGGTTTTATTGATAGAATAATGAGTACAATCATATGCACATGGATTAGATAGACAATTGAACTGATTTTTGGACTCAGAGTATATAAAATGCCGCTGTACCGCTTCTACTCTTGTCTGTTTATGTCACGGGCCATAACTACCTGACTTTACGCTAGAACCATAGGCTTACTGGGGACTTATATATTTAGTTGGTGGGAATAGCTGACAGGAGAAATATGTTGTCGTAGTCATTGGCTATTCATGCGGCGTGTCTTCGATGCCTTAGTAGAAATTGCTATGGCGACTTCGTATTGTGCAGATGCCTGTCCGCACTCACACAACCTCAAGATCCGCGTGACCTATAGGTAACACTACAATCTTTGCCTTGTACGTAGTAAGCCCAGATTGGATTAACAAGATACGGGCGCCGCTGCGAACACTACATGTGCCTCATAGATCTCGGCAGCCCGGTAAAGTCACATCAATGGCTTGAGGTCCAGAACTGATCCTCAGACATCTCGGTCCCTTGACCTGGCGTATGATCATGTACACCACAGCCGTTTACAAACCTAAACTCACCAGAGTCTCACAGACCTAGCTCTTCAGCTATCAATAACACTTGCTGACATTGTTTAAGCTTGGTACGCATTGAAACTACCATCAAGAGACTCCAAACTTCAATATAGCTTAGTACCATGCCCTACGGAATCTGCCAACGATGAGCACAGAACGGCTCAAGTTTAAACATAGTTGGACTCAACCGTCACACCCTTGCTCCGCCATCGCCAAGTCAAAGCTCAAAGTATTAATAAACCATATAGCACCCCAAAATTAGCAATATGCTAAAGATAGCGCTGCATGAGCGACGCCAAGCAATGAGTACCTGGTCTGGCTGAAGTTAGAAGCCTGGTATCATTTCATAGTTTCCACTCTATTGATTTCGCCATCTCATTTCTGTGAGAAAGCACTACCGTCACCTTCGTTCCATCCTTGGCTCGCTAAGGAGGCACCATGCTTCGAAAATACTTAGGCGAATATAGACATGTCTACTTTTGTATCCAGTGATGAGTGATACATAGCGGCTACCAGAAAATATATATAAGTCGTTCCTGGCCGCCTTATCCTACCGATCGGCGATTGAGTAACCCAGAGCAATGAGACTACTGACCTCACTCTACCATGCGTTCATGTTCACCCAGCTTGTACTGGCCCAAGACTCAGATTCCGAATGTGCTGCCGGTCCGGTACTTTCAGCCGGAGGCTGGCGGGACTTTCTAGCACCTAACAAAGACCTCAGGTGCCAAGGCGCAAGCATCTATTTTTTTGAAAAGGATGAGCGTCATTATGTACCAAT